AGCTTTAATGAATTGCTGTTTTAGGTTTAAGTTAATGAAAAATAATTTGTTATACGACTTTGTTCGGTTGAATAAATTTGTTTTTGTTTGATGCTGTTGCTTTTATTTTAATCTTGAAATGGTTGCCATTTTATCCATTAAGAAGTCATAATTAATATAAATATTATAATAGATTCTAAGCAAGAAAATTAACATTTAAAAGAAGTGTTCGATATATCGTTTTTATCGATCTTTTTCTCTGAAAATATCGTGAATATCGATATTACGGAATATCGATTATTTTGCAGCACTAGCTTTCGCGCGTAGACGATACTTTTATCTATCGATATACACATCTTCAACATAACGATGGGCAGCACTATCGTTATGGTGCCTCACAGCACTGCAAGGCCGTTACATGACCGGCAGCAAAACAAACGAACAGCTGTTTGCGGCGTGCAGTGAAAAAGGAAAATACAAGCTGAAGAAATGTTACAGAATCTTTCGCTGCTGCTGCGCAGCCAATCACGCCGGCACTACGCCAAAGCTGCCATAAAAGTGAAGACGATAGAAACTGAAAATACTAAACCACTTATAAGCTGTAAGCGAACACAATTCAATCTGCTCCAACATGAACGGGCGGATGCGAAGTTTGGAACAATTCCACTGTGCTCCAAGGGCTGGCTACACAGCAAATCCAAAAACGACCACTTCACACTAAATCCAACCATTAGCAGCGAGCAGCGGAAAGCGGAGATGCAGAACTTGAGTGAATTCCTAGCCACATCACAAATCCAAATGCACCCACAGCTGCTGGAGAACCTGCAACAGCAGCTGGACATCAAGCAACTAACAGGCATTCAGGCGCAAGCATTGCCCGTTGTGGATGCCAACTTTCACACGTTAATTGCAGCCGAGACGGGCTGTGGGAAGACTCTCGCCTACCTATTGCCCATACTCAATAAAACGCTCAAGCAGCAACCTTCAGAGAAAGGCAAGCTAAGATTAAATACGCCAAGGATATTGATACTGACGCCTGGACGTGAACTGGCCACACAAATTTCACAGGTAGCCCAGAAGCTGTGCACGGATACAGAACTAAAGGTGAAGGCGCTGCTGGGTGGCAACACGAAGCAGCTGATGCTGAATCCACAGTTCGCCGAGGTGGACATATTGGTGGCAACGCTGGGTGCAGTCAGCAAACTGGTCACAACGGGCATCTATCACATGGACCAGGTGCGCCATGTGGTGCTAGACGAGGCTGACACGCTGCTTGATGACTCCTTTACAGAAAAGCTCACCTACTTCTTGAGAAGATTTCCCGTAAGTGTCGAGTTTTTTAAAAAGATTCAGCTGCTAAAATTTATCTCCCAACAGTTTCACAAAAATCATGTCCAGGACCCGAACATTGTGGGCACGCAGTTGCTGCTCGCTTCGGCCACCATGCCCACAAATACGCGAGAGATTCTGCAAAGGGTCATCGACGTGGAAACCATAAGGGAAATTGTCAGTCCGAATCTGCATCATCTAATGCCACATGTTACGCAGAAGTTTCTGCGCATGGCCAAGGCGGATCGGCCAGCCAATTTGTTATCACTGGTCAAGCGGGATGTGGCCAAGCGGCGTCCACTCATCGTGTTCAGCAATAAGTCAGCTACAAGCGACTATGTCTCCATATTCTTGAACAACAGCGGCATCAATTGCCTCAACTTGAATGGCGATATGTTAATGAAGATTCGCATTGGCCGCTTCGAGGAGTTCCAACGTGGCGAATGCGATGTTCTGTCCACAACAGATGTGGGCAGTCGCGGACTGGATACGACGCGAGCACGTCATGTGGTCAACTTTGACTTCCCGCTGCACATCTCCGACTACATACATCGATGCGGACGCATTGGACGCGTGGGCAGCTTGGATAATTCGTTAGTCACGAACTTCATTTCATCCCGCCGAGAAATCGATGTGGTGCAGCGCATAGAGCATGCGGCACGAACCGGAGGATTGCTGCCCGATGTAAATGCTAATATTAAGAACATTATCAACAAGCGCATCATTGCGGACATGAAGGAGGCGGGCCTGCCGGTGCCTCAAGAGGATGCATTCTAGCTAATCGGGTTACAATAAAGTTGTATATATTAATTTGAATGTATGTGTACTTGATTTTATTGCCATGCCTTAGATACGCAAGTAGTGGTAGCCACTGTTGGGCAACACGCGCCTCACATTGCTTGGCGGCTTGTAGATCTTACGCTTGGCAATGAGTATATCGGAGTGCGCCATATCGTTGGCCCCGTTCGTAGACGGCGAGTCCATAAACTGCATAGCCCCAACGCCCTTCGGCTTGAGTAAAACGGGCCGACAGCCGGCGAATTTGAAGCGAATGGTGCCGGTGCAATTCAGTCGGAGATTCGGCAGCACCAGCTCTGGAAACGCCTCGAGCATTGTGGGCTTCGGTTTGATCGCCTTGCTGGGATCGTCGCCATGGCACATGGCTGCTGCCAGAGTGCTCCACTCTAAGCGACGCACGCCTGGCTGCGGCTCGAATCGGAAAGCGGGCTGTCGGGCATTTAGATAGCGCTTGGAGATCATCTTCTCTAATGCGTCTGAAAACAAAGATATTAATATTTATGAAACACATTATTACAGGGCATCTACTCACTCGCATAGTGCACCATGAAAGGCTGTAAGGTGGCCGCTCCGCAACCAAATTCCAGCCACTCATACAAGTGTATGTCATCACGTCCTCCTAAGAATATGGCAGCTGGTGCCAAATCCCGCCACAGGCTGTCGGGCACATCATGCACATTCAGCTTGTATATATATGGTATAAACTCTCGGAACGCATATTCGCCCAATGCTATAAGCCCACGTACTGCGCGACTAATGTACTGAAAATCTGTAAAAATACAAATTAGTAAAGCTAATACATAAATATATATTTGTCGTAAAATTCGTACCACGTTCGCTACACACGGCACGACCTTCAAAAAATCTCGCCAAGCGTCGCTTAATCAGAAACAAGCATTCGGAATGCAAATATCCACTCTGTGCCGCCATTTGACCAAGAGTCTCGCAAAGCTCATCCACACAGCCGCTGCCCACGGGACTGGCAAAATAGCTGGAGAGCTGCTGGGGCTCGTCCTGCAGCTGCTTCTCGGCAGCTTCACTGCTATCGTCATCTAGCTGCAGCTTGTATATGGTCTGCTCCTGCGAGGCATCACTGGTGATGGTAATATCAGGAATTGGCTGTTGCACTGGATGCTGCGCAGACTGCTGTTCCTGCTGTTGAGTTTCGAGGTCCATGCCTTGATTTCCGTATTGGTCACTCTGCATATCGTTGCCCAGACCCGGCTCCAGCTTAAGCTCTCTATCCAGCTCCATTGCAACTGGCACATGCTGTGACTGCGGCCGGCTATCGGCCACCTTGATGGTCTCATACGGCGCCATTAGCTGACTAATTAGCACCTCGGCCAGGTTGAAGTACTCCGGCCGACAATTGATGTGATTCGCCAACGGATTGTAGTTACAAGCGCGCAGTAATCGCCAGCAGCGCTGGCTCACCTGATCGTGCTGCTTAAAGGCCAACATCTGCAGCATTTTGCTAATGATGACGCGATAGCAAGCGCCCATCAAAGGCGTCTGGAAGGCCTGCGAAATGGCTACTCCACGTGCCTGAGCATCGCCAAAGATTGCAGCTAAAAGATAACTTGGTCAGACAAACAATCAGTACTACAGCAAAAACCAATCACCTGTTACCAGACTCTGCACAAACTGCTTTAAGTGTTCTGTATTCTTATCCTCCACCGGGCAGATGCAGTGGAAATCCGCGCCATTTGGCAATGAGAGTGCAATATCTTTTTGAAACTCATCGCGTAGCTCAAAAATTTTATCCGAATGAAAGAAATAGCTGCCATCGTAATCAATGCAATCCCAATCACTGTCCATAGCACCGAGCATGGGCGGCACATCAGCATCCTTGAGCACCTCATTGACTAGATCGTAGGTGACCACGCCGCCCGAGTGGCGTGAGTAAATCTTGACATTCTGTGGAATTATATTAATGAAACGTAATTTAAATGGTAACCTCAATGTGCTCACATTTATAAGCTCCCAGACTTTGTAGGATGCATCCTCTGCTAGGCGGGCGCAAACATCTTGCGATAGTTCCACATCCGTTTGATCATGTTGTTCCCAGAAGATTTTTATGGTACGCGGATCAAAACCGGCGTACGTCTTATGGTGGCCCTGCAACGTAAAGCATATTTAAACAAATTTCAACAGCTGTCCAACTTACACACTCACAGCTTTGCCGGAACTGTTGGTCATTTCCATTCCAACACCTTGAGCATGACCGGCCACGGCAAAGGATGCATCAAATAGATTATAGTTGCTTAATGTGGTAGTTGGTGTCGTGGGCGTCGTGGCCATATTAACATGAGTGGGCGTGGCTGGTAAACTGGTCATTGGTACACCAACATTGGCGGCTGAAACCGAATTCTTGCTACTAGTTTCCAGTTTGGTATTTTTTGAACGAGATTTCGTAGACTTTTTGTTTATTTTGCCCAATGAAGATTTGGCCGGCTCCTCCGACGAGCCACCGCCGGTTGTTTTCATATTGTTTTCTTACTTTAAAACTATTATTTATTTAACTGTTGCAGCTACTGAACTCTGTTAGCGACATTTAATAAACAAAATTGGACAACAGCTGATCGAAGCATATATCGTTTGTGGCGGTCAGTCAATAAATAATCGATACTTTGATAATCTAAACGATATTTTTATGGTAAACACTTGAACAGTTGTTGGCGCATAACATATAATTGTTTCTTAATAAATAAGAAAGGCGGCACAACAAAACCTGCCCGTCATGGCTGAAGCCGCCAATGTGCGTCAAAATCTCCAGAATGTGCCCTCGATTTTTGAAATTTCGGCCGCAGAGACACTAGATAACCTTATCTATCCGGCCCTTAGCAAAGTCTTCGACTACTTTGGTCTTCGTTTGGACTTTAAGCTTTGGGGCAATTTGCATGTACGAGAAGAAGTATCACCAATTATCACATGGATTCTACAGTATTTGTATTTGCGTAAGAGGGCCTCCTCTTTCGGAGAAAGCTTCTATGGACTACAGCGCACGGCCACCGCCACCGGCGAGCTGCTGACCCGCCAACAGCAATTCACTTCTGCAACTCTCCTGACTTTTCTGCCGTACATAGAGCGCAAATTGCGTTCTCGTAGTGCGCAGCATGAGGATACATACGCCTGGGAATCACAACTGATTAATTTATTTCACGTTTATAATGCCTCGAAAGCAGTACACACATTCCTGTATCTGATAAAGTATGCGAAGAGCCACTCGCCGCTGTTTCGTGCTCTACGTCTCACGCTTCGCTATCCCAGTGAGCCGCCCAAGGAGGACAAATGGACGTACATATTCCTTAAGATGCTCGAGGTGCTGGCATTCTTCCTGCAGTTCATACAGTGGTGGTACTCCAACGATCAGCGTCGGAAGCTAGGCGGAACGCTACAGAACCCGCAGGCCATGCCCGAGCGTGAGTTACCCAAGGAGCTGAAGGAAACGTTACCCAAGAATGGAGAATGTCCCGTTTGCCTGTTGCCATTGCAAACGCCCACAGCTTGCGCTGTATCTGGTTACGTCTACTGCTGGAAATGCATTGTTACACATCTGAAGGAGCAGGGCACCTGTCCTGTGACCAGTTATCCAATCACCATAGAGGATTTAGTGCGCATCTATGAGACGTAACCAAGACATATGTATATATATTGTATTTGTTTTGTATTAAAGTGTTTTTCATATTTTAAGACCCAGTCTCAGATGTTCCTCATATAGAATCCATTTCGTCTGCTGTGACATATATATAAGTTATGGAAGTCGAGGCTTGATGTCCACACATAGGCCATATTAGTGAACATCAATATGTGTTCACATATCGCGAAAAGGGAATATACTGAAAACATTAGGGAGAGTATATATTAGATATAGCTATCTACAATATACACAAGCATACCCAAAGGCACACAGAATTCCACATGCAAGAAATACAATGGCCAAATGACGACACTGGCTGATAAGTGGAAGAAGAACAGTTTACGCTTAAGAAGATATGAGAGACGACGGTGGGGTTCCGTATTCTGGCTGTAAGCCAGACAATAAACCATGGTGGCCATGAAGCAGCAGCTAGTTATCCAAATGCTAAGCGTTAGCACCACATGAATCCAATTGGTACCCGGTGTATCTCCGAACTCCGCAATGACAATATTAGAGACTATATTCAGAACGAAACAGAGCACAAAGAGGTAGATCAGCAGGCCTGAGCGTCGGGATAGCACGCGTTGCTGATAGCGCCAATATAGCCATGCGATGAGCAGACGCAGTGGTAGATGAGACCAGGTCAAGAGCTTCCAGCTTGATTGATTGAACTGAATGACCGCCGACGCGCTTGGCACAATGTGCAGTACGTGGCAATGCGTAATCGTAGATCTCTCATAATCCACTATGATGGTCTTCAGCAGGGTAAAAATTGTTAAGACAATCATGAAAGAGCAACCAAAATGCAGCAGTAAGCCGACTGAGATTCTACAGCGCGAGGCAACACTAATCTCCAAGTCCTTGGTCGAGATTGGCAACAGCTTGACCCGATCATCCATTATTATATGTGCGTGCGATTGTTCATTTTGATTGACACCTATATTTTTGTATACTTAAATGAAAGTTTATTTGATTTCAGACTGACAGAGAAATCAGGAATTTCTTAAGTTAAATTAAGTAAACTTTGAGCTTAAGCTAGAACCGCACAATTACAATATATACAGGAATACAAGCCGCTGGACGATGAACGTTCCTTTAACTAAGTCAAGCTAATAGCGTATTATATGCAATCCATTCCGGGTATCGCAGTGAATGCTAAACGAGTGAAAGTCCCAATAAGCTGTCATATGGAAGCCCATATTGGTTAGCACCACAATGTACTCGAAGAGGGCGAAGAACGTGTAAACTATGAAAAGGAAAAATACTTGAATTAGTGGTGGACCATCAAGGAGAGTATCGAATCTATATAGAAAGCTTACCGCCAGCCTCACAGCGTGCGTTGTGCCGCATGAAACAGTAGCCGGCGAGGCCAAAGGCAAGCACATTAATCAGGAAGAGATTTCGCTTATAGCGCAACGATTTTTCCTCGTGTGGCAGGAGAACGGATTTGCGTGCACTCCTATTTAAAAGATAGGACATCAGCATATAGCATTCACTGCACGCTATGAACACCACAAACGAATTCCGATGGATCTCATAGTTGTCCGCCGATGTCCACAACGATAGGCAGAACAGAGCAAAATTCTCGATGACATTCAGCGTGCAGGCCAGGATGCCAAACATTCGACGATTGCGCTTAATGTGCTCCCTATAGTATTCCAAATACATGCGCGTCACAGTCAGACGCAATGGCAGATGCAGGATGATAGCCAAACGCCAAACCGTTTTCTGTGGCTCATAATTTCCAATTGCCGCCGACACCGATGGCAAGTAATTGGCCACGTCGCAATGCGTAAACGTGGAGCGTGCAAAATCAAATACCAGAGACCACACTACACAGAAACAAAACGCGCTCAACGGCAAACTGAGTGCCGTCAGCGCTAGCCGGGCAAATGTTATGTGAAAGAACACCCGTTTGGGATCGTTCAGACGCTCGTATGTGGGTAACATGGTTGGCGGGCGAAGCTTTTATCTTTAATTTAAGGCTCTCCGTGGCGTCTCCTCATAACTTCTACACGCCCAATTGTTGCTGCAATCAGCTTTTAACCTTTTGGCCGAAGAAACATCTTTAATTGCAGCGCCAGCGCGTAAACAAATGAAAAAGGCTAGTATGCAGCCGCAGAAAATATATTGCGGGTGGAAATAAGTTCATCATCAGTATATCTAATTAATATGGGATAATGTTTCTGAGCATTCATTTAATCAAATAAAATAATTATAGTTGTAATAAATATATTTTGTATATTTATCTAATTAATTATGTATTGCAGTATTTAAACACTACGGTTAGTGATTTAACTGAGTATTAAAGCTGCATGAGCTACATACTGACTTTAATATCCATGTATCGATATGCATTGTCATGATATCGTGGTGGTATCGATACTCTAGCGTGTGTTATGCCAAAAAAAAAAAAAAAAAAAAAAAAAGTGTGTAAAAAAAAAAAAAAAAAAAAAGATCCCAAAACAACGCGCTCTTTTACTTTATTGTTTTATGAGAAAAGTACCGCAATAACATGGATATACTTTTGGCCAACGTAAACAGCCTGCAGTTCAAGGCAGAGCGCGATCTCATCGAACAGGTGGGAGCCATACCACTGCCGTTCTATGGCATGGACAAGTCCATTGCCGCCGTCTGCAATTTCATCACAAAAAATGGCCAGGAATGCGACAAAGGCAGCGCCTGCCCTTTCCGGCACATTCGCGGCGATCGCACCATCGTCTGCAAGCACTGGCTGCGTGGCTTGTGTAAAAAGGGCGACCAGTGCGAATTTCTGCACGAGTACGACATGACGAAAATGCCAGAGTGTTATTTCTATTCACGCTTCAATGCCTGCCACAACAAAGAGTGCCCGTTCCTGCACATCGATCCACAGAGCAAGGTAAAGGACTGTCCATGGTACAAGCGTGGTTTTTGCCGACATGGGCCGCACTGTCGACATCAGCATCTGCGACGTGTGCTATGTATGAACTACTTGGCCGGCTTCTGTCCTGAGGGACCCAACTGCAAACACATGCATCCACGATTCGAGCTGCCGCCCCTCGCCGATCTCAGCAAGGATCAGACGCACAAAAAACTACCCACGTGCCACTACTGCGGCGAGCTCGGCCACAAAGCGAACTCGTGCAAACAGTATGTGGGCAGCCTGGAGCATCGCAATAACATCAATGCCATGGACCACAGTGGGGAGAATAATGATGATGGTGCTCCGAATCATCCGCCGCCGCCATTTATCAAAGTGCCCACACCTCTAGAGGAGATCACCTGCTACAAATGTGGACACAAGGGCCACTATGCCAACAAGTGCCCCAAGGGTCATCTGGCCTTCCTATCGAATCAACATAGTCATAAATAGTTGTAAGCCCTGCATACCCTTTTGTACATCTAAGAAATCAGTTAATAGTACAGATTAAATCTTCCGTCAAACCATCATGCATGTCTAATGTCATATATTCCAGCGATAACACACAACGATAAATCATAGTTTCCACAGGGGTATATTAACAGATATAATTGCTTCGCATATACTTCGTTAAAATACGTAGTCTCTGTTTATTAAATACCTTTCACGTTAAGCAAAATTAGAAGAAATGCTTAAATATACACAAACTTTACTATTTTCTATCTTACGATAAGCTATCGATGCAATATACGAAACAATAGATGAAACTTCGAAACCGACTGATTTATATAATGCATATATAATAGAACAACTCATAATTAAATAATATAAAAATTTCTTTTATATATCAAACGTTTACGTTAAAAAGAAATCCAAATATTTGGGCTTATCGCTATCGATAATAAATCGTTACTCATCGTTAATAACTGCAAACAAGTGAAAATATATCGCTTAGCTGGCTACTTGCCTACTCAGTTTGCTGCGCAACACAAAAACAAAGTGAAAAATATAATTGAAGAGTAAACATCACCTAAGTGTAGTTTATATAAAACGTCTAGGCATCATATTTTCGGTCATCTCAAAATAAAAATTCGAAACTAAATTGCTCAAAAACCCAGGAACACACTTTGAACGTCGGAAAAAATGACGATTCTAGCAAAATTAACAGGTGAAAAGAAGGATTTGGAGAAGGTTCCGCTTCCATTACATCTCAACGATGAAGCCATTATGCATCATGGCTCACTGATCAGTGTAAGTAAATGACGATAGAAAACATTTTCTTTTGCGCAATAGTTTCATGTGTCCTTGCGAGCCCCATATTTTCTACATGTCCTTCGTGCCCATAGCTCTACAAGTTTTTTTTTTTCGCTTTCGTTTGCCTTCGCGCGCGAGCCTTTGTGTGTATGTGTGTGTGGCTGTTCGCTTGTGGGTGTCTGTTACTGTAAGATTTTCTATATACATGTAAAAGTATGTATGTATGTGTGTTTGTGCTCTCGGCAGCATGCATATTTATCGATTTTTCACATGGAATTCCCATGTGTGTGTCCTTGCACTCCTTCCTTTGCTCCATTTAAGGTCGCACAGCTTTGGCATTGCCCGTCGCCAGCACGATTTCGGTTTACCCCGACAGCTCATCCATTCCAAACGCCCTCTTTTTTTAAGCCCAAATATGTATTGCATTATTCTTTTGTGCTCATTGTGAATGATTCCAGTAGCATATGTACATATGTATGTATGTTTGTACGTATATACATATGAATAGTTATATGTATATACATAGACGTACGTATATAGATTCATACATAACTGTGTGCGTGTGTTTTCCGCGAATATGCATTTTGCAGCTGAGCACAGACACATACATGCATATGCATTTATATCATTGCATTTACGTTTTGTTCCTCATCGTCTCCAATTGCGTCGCTATTCGAGCACAACAGCAATTTTTGCCCTTTGCTCGTCAGCGATAATAACTGGACACCAACACGACACATGTAAATAGCTTATATAGTGTTGATAAATAGTAGAAATTGCTAGCCAAGCAGCTAACGACGGAAAAGTGTTAGTAATAAATATTTTATAGATAGCTGTACGATAAAAGGTTTCAAAAATGACGAGCTGTGAAACAATAACAATACAATATGCATAAATTTGTTTAATGTAGCCTTTTCACAATTACCGTTAGCTATTTTTGCAGTAAAAATGTTAAAACTAAGGGGCTAACTTAGCAGCACTGATCATTCAATTTTCTTACGTATCTATTTACGTATATACATATGTACATAGGCATTGTTTACTCTCTTTTGTACTTTATTGACATTTTCATCTGTCCTTTTGATATGTGATAAGGAATTCCAAAACAAAAATACCTCTGCCGGTGCTGAAGTACATGCATATGTACTTATATACATATACCGTAATTACTCATTGAACAACTGAACCCCATCTGCTGGCATTATTAGTCATTGGAAATAACAGTAGTTGCTATAAAAAGAATAATTCTGGGGTATATCACGTACACATATCTAGTTATAGATATTTATATACACACTAAATAAAATTAAACTGCGGTTAATCTTGATTTCGTCTACAAAATATGCTTTAAATGATGTATATAAATACAATATAATAAAGTGTGATTGTTATTATTATCGTTCTTTAATTGCAGCCAAAGGGAGCGTACAGCGATGCCGATACCGAATCAATGGTTTTCAATCGGCCGCAATATAATTGCCTAAAGTCGTTTCTTTTGTTCCTGATCGCCATTATCGTGATGCTAATGGGTGTACTGGGTGGCTGGACACTCTATCGTTTATATGCCCCGAATCATTCCAGCATGCGCTATCACGCCCTCTGTGACATACCATATAAGGAAGACTCGATGGAATTGCCACGTTTCTATGCACGCAACGACGACTCTTTCGCCTTGAACTGGCGCTCCCTATTGCCCCAATTGTCGGGGTCCCCAAGTGCGAGCAACAGTATGGGCGGCCAGTTCGATGAGCTAGTCAACGATAATTTCTTCCGCGAGGAAATCGAGTTGAATAGCGGCGATGACGATGGCTATGCCAAGATCGATGTACCGGACTTTAAGGATGGTCGCCACGGGCGCTTCATGCATGACTTCAAGGAAAACCAGTCAGCCATTATTGATACCACCACTAATCGGTGCTTCATCATGCCCCTGGACAGGGAGACCACACTTCCTCCCAGCAGCTTTGTTGATCTGATGCAGAAAATGGGATCAGGCTACTATAACATTGATACGGAGCGAGTTCGCCGTAATATGCGTGTCATTACACCACGTATCACCGATCTCTCGGTCATCTCGGAGCGCATAGCCAACGAATGCTATGACATGAAGGTGTACATGATGGAGAAGTTTGTATCTGGGGGTAAGTTTTGACTTGTATTCTCCAGTTTGGCATGCACTTTCTTACCGAAACTCTTTGCTTTACAGTGGCCAAGCGCTCGGTTGATCCTCTGCCAGATGCCGGCAAGTATGCAGCTTTCATGGGAAAGGGCGTGGTTGAGTATGATCTGTCAAACATAGCCGAGGTCGAGGCCTACGAGGCGAACGAGGCCCAGCAGCATCAGGCCGCCTAGGCTCCAATTGGTCGTATGCTCCAAATGTTTTAAATTATTTACATAGAAAAAAAAAAGAAACACACAAAAAAAAAAAACTGAAAGCAAAAAAATACGAATGGACAGCAACCTTAACAAAGACAAACAAAATAGTATTGATTTCTGTAAGTGTGTGTGCGTGTGTAAACAAAATGATCTGTAGGCAACTGCCTCAACTTTTAGTCTGTAGTTCGACTTTGGGATAGACGTATATATGTATATGTAGACTCTATGTATATATATACTTATATATGTATTTATATTTTTTATTAATTTAAATTTGCATTGCATTACAGTCAGTTTAATTGGATTTTTAAATTGAATTAGTTTTAAATTAAGGTCTCATTTACAAAATATGATAAAATATCTCTTTAATCTGAACACAATTATCAATTACTCCACTTGCCAAATAACAATTGAAGTAAATATTTAATTTAAATTTATTAATTTTGCAAATTGGTTTTTAATCAGATTCTAATTAAGTATACGATATGTTAGCAAGAAAAATTAGTTAATTCTTTTAATTGTTTATAAAATTGAATTATAAATTAGCCTAATTTGCTGATTGTACATGTCACGTGTTCTTAAAATAACATTGTCAAGTCGCGTCGGTTTGTACGTGGTCGTATCAATAATCGCAAAATTTGTAACGCGTCTATCCTTAAGATCGATGTAACCATGCTTATCAACTGTTAACAGATCATATTGTATTGGCCAAGTGGCTCGACGAGCTCTGCACGGCTCGTTGGGCTCAATAATAACAATAAACGAAAAATCATATATATAACGATAAAATAAAAATGAAACCCTGTTAAGAAATGTACCTAGAAAGCAATTAAATGCGATTGACGAAATTGTGACAAATACTAAAGAAACGAAAAATAACAAACAAAAGAAGAGGGAGTGCGATTTGGGCTTGGAATGTAACTGAGGGAATTAGTAGTAGAGTTTTAGGATTCCAGCAACTTTCTATTGTATATGAGAATAAAGGGTAAATCTAACAAGAAATTAGAAATATAATTGAACACCCAAATCCAACTTGAAACATATATGAAAATAAAATACACACTGCATTCGATTCCAAGTACATATTTTATATTATATATACTCTTTAACTCTATAAACTATAAAAGCGTACGCGTGCTAAACGAATATTTATATAGAACGAAAAATCGAAAAGCAAAAAATAATTAAAAATCCACAGCTATTTACATTTGCTAACAAAGGAAAGAAAGAAGGAAAATTGTCAACATTATCAGAAAACTAAAGATAAAAGCAAATTAATCTAAATGTTCTGTAATCGATTTCAATGTATTAAAAACGCGAATTTGTGATCTTTAAATCGATTTGGTTTATTTTAATTTCTTTTAAATATGTGGTTTGCACAGCGCTATAGTATGATCCACGCCGTAGGCCACCTTTAGAACCTTGCCATTGATGGCTGCCTTGAAGGGGAAGAACTGATCCTTCTTGTGGCCCAGGCCCAGGTGGCCAAAGCGATTCTTGCCCCACATAAACAGATCTCCGTCGGAGTTCACGGCGCCCATGTGAAAGACTCCGCAGCCGATGGAGACTACAGTGGTTGCATTGCTGAAATCGTTTCGACCGAATAGCGGTGGCAGCAGATGCTGCGGCTTTGAAGTTTGCTCCACAAACGGGCCAAAGCCCAAGATGCCATAGCCCCAGGTGTAGACGAGGCCCTGGTCATTGAGTGCCATGCAAAAGGAACCGCCCGCTGCCACATCCTTGACCTTGCCCAGGCCCTTGGTCAGCGTGAGCGCTCGAGGTGTGCAGATCTGGGTCACTGCATCCGGCGCATCATCTAGCTGACCATACTCCGAATTGCCCCAGCCAAAGACATCGCCCTTCTCGTTGAGCGCCAGCACACAATCGGACGCGCAGGCGATGCGCACAATGCGCTCCTTCTCGATGTCGCCGCCTATGAGCGTTATCTGGCCAGCGCTGTAGTAGTTGCCCTGACCCGTCTGGCCGTCGGCACCCCAGCCGCAGGTGTAGACGCGTCCCAGCTTGCTCAGCAGCATCGTATGATCCTGTCCACACTCCACGGCCACAAGCTCATCGTCCGCTCCGCAAATATCGCGCTGGGCTATGCGATTAATCAGCGCACTGCCCGAGTATTTCTCCTCTTCGATAATGGAACGGCCGCACTGTCCATACGAATTGTTTCCCATGGTAAAGACGGTGCCATTCTGCGTGAGCACCACGAGATGTGCTCGACCTGCCGACATGCTCTTTACCTGCATATCCTCATCCGTTTCGCCCTGCAGCCGTGGCAGCTGTATTGCTGTTGGATAAATAATCACATCCAAATTAGCCGGATCCTTCTTATTGCCCTTCACTTGGTAGCCCAACTGTGAGTCAGTGTTGAGGCCGCTGCCAAACAGACTCAGCCCATCCGAACGTTTCACCGCGTACGCCGTAAAGCCATAGCCGGCTGTGACATCCGTGATTTCATTATTATTCGAGAACTGCAGCCTCGTTGGATGATGCACCATTTCCGTGTATCGTTCTTTGGCCTTCTTCACATTGGTTTGCAGCCCCAGAGCGCCTGTCTCCTGGAAGCCCCACACGTAAACCCGATTTGCATGCGCATCGGTTGTCTTTGGTTCATAATCTAAAATGAAAACAACTGATTAACAAATGCAAATGCAACGTGCTTGGCCGCTATACTTTTTATTTTGCTCTGATCTTGTGAGAGGACCACACGCTTTGCTTTTGTTGTATATTGTCGACTTAGATGGACACTTGCCCACTTTGAGGATCTTAATATTTTGAAACTTAACATATTTAGCGGTTACTAATATAATGGAGTTGAATACACCGATCAGAGTGCATTGATTATGTACAATAATAAACCGTTTATCGATATACATTTTGGTATTTTTTGCATATTGGTATTTTTCACTTTATTTTTAAATTTGTATCGCATCGATCTATATTAATGCAATATTAATAACACAATGAGCAGCCAAATCTCAACAGCTGTTTTTTTTTCCATTACCTCTTTACAGGATAATTAGGATAAAATATAACAATTTGTTTGCACAATCTTGCGTTACTAAAACAGTATCATCACTAGCACGAACTTATTTATATATCGATGCCACAGCTGTTTAATAAAAGTACTCGATGCATTCGAGACAGAAATATCGATGTGGGCGACACATTATTGCTATCGAAATTGTAGAGAGCGACGAAGAAGTAGCTCCGGTAAAATTGATAAAAAGAGTTGTTCGACCGCGAAATAATTCTTAGAAATTATTGAATTGCATTCATTAAATACCTCGAAGTGCGGTTGCGTCATTAACGACAAACGAAAAGTGTTGAACAAAAACATAAACGTCTGTACCCAGTGATTTTCGACTGCCCAACATAATATATATAGATATATATAAGTATATATATACATACATATGAACAGATGTACACATAATGTACACTTAAAGTAGTCTTATTACAGTGAACGAGTGTTAAGTGCAAATTTAGTGTGTGGCAAGTGCCTGAAAAACATTGGAATATTGCTCGGAGTTCAGTGAAGAAAGTGCATTTTTATATGGTCGCTTCTGCTGCTGCACAAAGGGCTGGGGCCGTTGGCTGCTGCTAGGAGTTGCCGTCGTCATCGCAGTCGCCGTCGCMGTCGCCAAAAACTTTCGTCGTCTCCGGTAGGTACACACAAAATATACGGTTGCTCCTGTTTAGCTCCTGTTTTGTGTCTCGCTCTCACTCGTTCGCGTTCTCCGTCTCCATCACTCTCCCACTCTGTCTTTTTTTGCTCTCTCTCTCTCTCTCTTAAAAATGCTCGCATTTGTTATGTTTGGTTTCACTGCTCTCAGCATTTGCATATTTATCGATTAACAGTGCCGTTTCGATGTACAACGAACGGTACATTTCCCAGGATAACACTCAAATAAAGGTGTTTAGAAAAGGAAGTGAAAATTGCGTATCTGTCTATGCTCTCTTGCACTTTCACAGTTGCTCTCTTGCGGTCGCGTCGCTCTGGCTGCGTGCGCGACAGCAACCCCCATTCGACCTACCCATGCTCTCTCTCTCCTTCTTATTTAGTCTCGCTCTAGCATTTCTCATTGAGCACAATCCTTTTTATGCAACGCCTGCTCGTTCATGTTTTCTTTCCGTATAGGCAGGCTTCTTTTGCAGTTTTTGGTTACCAGGGTCGTTCGTCGCCATGCACACCGCCCGTGGCTATATATGTGTCAGCAATCTGTTTTCGCTTCAGCCCAACCCCCAACCCCAAGCCCTTATGCACCCAAACAACCACCGCCCGAACTTTAGATGCGCAGTTCACTTCGGGGCACAATTCAACCCACGACCCAAAATCCACATGTCACACAGGTTTCTCTCCTCGCTCAGCTTCAATTCTAAAATCCAAACTCTAGCGACAACAACAACAACAACAGCTGCGCAAAATAACTAAATCAACTCGAATGTACTGAATGGAGTTCCGTTCTTCTTTTCTAACAGTGTTGCCGGCATAAGCTATAAAAGGCTAACTTGATATATGTAAATATCTGGAAAATAGCTAAACTCTTATCTTAAATCGAACTATAAGCATAAATAGTCGAATTTAGCGAGTTCCTAAACGAAAGGTCTGTAGTCTTTGTTATGCAAAAGACCTAGCGGAAAAAATAGTCCCAAGTTAGTCATAAAAATTCTAGAAACAATAGCTGAGACACTAAATTCGAACTATGAATGACGGGCTAACGAGAGCTTTCACTCAGAGTTTAGTTAGAATTTAATCAACTTTCCAGCAATTCAACTTTTTAGTGAGAAGAACTGTGCGACAATTAAATTATCAACATTGTTACACAAAAAGAAGGGAAATAATTATTCAGTTTCTAATTAAAATTACTATAAAATTATCTAGCATTTTAGCTGCACTCTCTGAGAGGGAGACCTTGGTCTCTCGTTCCATATATATATAGCTATTACGTAGCTAAAGTGTCAGCACTGTCTCACAATGGCCATGCCCACATAATATACGAGCACATAGAGACGGAGATGCATATGCATCTAAATATACTTATATGTTTACAGTTTTATGCCCGAGCTGGCTGCGGCTGCGGCTGCCCTTTTGGCTTTGATAAGGCTGCGCCCTATCCCCACTTCAAATTACTTGTTTCTTGTCGATTTTGAGTGCATTTCGGTGGCCCATTTTCGGTGATTTAAGAGTTTTGACGCCCCTAAAAACTCTTGAATAGATTCTGAATGAAAAGAAGACATCATAAAGAATTGTTTACTCTGTTTTCAATTAGTTTCAATAATTTTGTATGAGTGTTTCTTGATATGGTTGTTGCGTCTCCAATCCGTTGAACGGAACGAGCACTTCCTATCTGTGAACCGTTGCCGAAACAACTTTCCGCCTCATAAACCCGTCGAGCACGTGCAACTCTTTCAATTTTCTCTTTGACGAACTGTCTCCGACAATCGTGCGCCGTCAAGACAAAGGCGCTACCTTGGCAATGTCTAAGCCCCCAACAACAACGCATACAACAAATGCGACAAAATAGATCGAAGCAGCCAGCGACTGAGCTTAGTTCAATGGCCATAAAAAGTAAACCCATCCAAGCATTTCAATGTTTTAGCTCTGCTGGTGGCCTTGCGCTAGAGCAGCGCAGCACGAAGGCACGTTTACTAGCATAAAATGTAAATTTCATATAGATGGCATAGAAAACAAACAAATAAAAGCAAAGTGGCTGGCAAGATTTGCCAGTCACTTACCTGCATTGTAAATACATAGTTTTACATACGTACTAATAAATCACCAACAAACCATCTCAGCTTATCTGCATTGTAAATATTTACAATGTGATTAAAAAGAGTGTATAATCAAATTCTATATATAAATATTATTGGTAGCTTCCCACATGTTTTATCAGCCTATTTATATGTATTATTGCTAACTTCCACTTGCTCGCTTATTCAGGCTATTTGTTTTGCTTATCTAGAACAATCGGAAGTTTATTGATCATGAGAATAATCAGCCATTGCTATAGTAACTTTTAGTTCATTTATACTTAGATGATCGACATTTAGATTAAGTGTTTTGTCCGAGTAATATCTCGTTACATCTTTAAAAGTCCCTGGTAAATGTATTCCCATGACAGCCATATCATCCGCTGTACAATGAACATGAGAAAACGAAACGAGTCTTGCGCAAACATGAATGACTATGAAGTGATTCTTTCGCTGTGCTCAGCATTCTCTCAAAACCGAAATTAATACCCCAAATAGACGGAAACGCTCTGACAATGATACGAAAGATAGAATCACATTCTGTCAAAAAAAAAAAAAAAAAACAAAAAATGAGTAGAGATAGAAATAGAAATAAAAATAATAAATGGCTTTCGCCTTCACTCTCGACGCACAGCGATTTTCTCTTATCGCTGATGACAACACTTTTTCATAGGAACCAAATGCTTGTTGGCGAAGGCGTTGGTCGACACGCTAATTAAGCTGCTGCAACGCTCGACCTTCAACCCGCTTTGTTGGCCAACTGTCAAGCTGTGGCCAAAAAAGTGAAACCAAAGAAAAGAAAAAATACAAGTCAAATGTCCAGAGCTTTTTTATTTGTTTCTGGGTCGCATAATTATTGATCTTTAATAATTTTTGTTTGGCCTCCGGCTGTTGACATTGACTTTGGTTTCGCTTTTGGCCAACAACCTCACACAGTTGGCTTCGCAATATGAAAACTGTCGATTATCTCGTGCCACTTTACACATCTACCACCTATGCACCTACCTGGTGGGCATTACGTAAACAGCAAATGCCTCATGTCTGTCTCACAGTATTCTTTGCCTTATTCATTTATACGCTGTCAAAAGGGTATTCGCAAATGGTTATTCAATCTGTTTAGGGTAATACATGTAGGCATATACGACTCTATATTCAGCAAATAAATATATTTCTTGAGATATCTCTTGATATATGCATATGATAAGATTTAGATAAATATGAGGTCTTTCTGTCTGCCTGCTCATATGCAACTAGTCTTTCAGTTCTGAACTTATTTTCAGCTTATATGATTACTAGAGTTTCCATCTTAAAGCTAACTTGCAGGAATTGTAGGACATCTGTTTTATCATAAGTCTTCACATAATATCGTCATCTGTCTTTGTTGCTTGTTAGAATATTTGTCTGTTATTTATATAAATGACATAATTGCTCTATACTTATAAGACATTTTTCTACTAAAAAACCAAATAACACTTTAAAATAGATTATTTTACAACTATCTCTTACTTCTGTTGAGAACTCTAAGTGCTGGCAATATCAGCTAGATCTCCCAGAGACATCTTCACTTAAATTTTTAAAGAATTATATCGGATCTCTTTTATGTATGGAAGAGTATTTCAACTTCTTCAATTCCCTGCTAGCTGTTAATTATTGCTGTTTGTTTTTGCTTTCCTTCTCCCCTTCTGGTCTGTCCTACTTGTCCGGCCATAGGTGGGTTGGTCTCTGCTTAGTTGGTTTGTCTTTTCGTTAAGTACGAGTCAACCCAATCCCATTCCAATCCAATTCCATTTCCAATACCTGTTCGTGACTCATCGAGCGCTTTGGTCGTTTGGGCCAGCCCCAGTGCGAGACTCAATCACAGTTACGTTTCATTTTGAATAGCTGGTTATTTTACTCACTCCTCCTCTCTCACTCCTTCTTTCTCTGTCTCTGTCTCACTGCATGAATGCTTCTGTGGATGCTGTTGCACGTAGTGACCCAAACTCTGTGCCACTCAGCGGCGCATTGCCAAATCAATTGAAAATTCATCAATTAAAATCAAGTGATTCCTCGTTCTCCATCTCGTTTTTATACACTAGCTGAAACTCGGGAGGGAAGTTTGCTTTAATTTTGTCACGAACTGTGTGAGACAAGCACTCAAGAGATGTCTCAAATGGGTTATATGTATTATATTGTAGACGTGATCAGCACGATGCTCGACGCTTGCCTCGACCTATGTGAACTAAGCGCTAAATGAAGCTATTTAGCTAAGAGTTAGTAGATCTGTGTTTATTATGGCAAATAAATCGAATTAATATGATGGGTCATTTTTATGATAATCTGTATTAAATTATATCACATAGTTGCCTTGGAAATAGTTGCTAGAAAGTTGAAATATAAGGAAATATTAGTACTCAATATTTTTTCAAAGCAATTATCAAACAAATATATCTGATTTCATTTAGTATTAGTTTCAAAGTTTATATCCGTGTTTCTTTTAGATTATTTGAAATTTAAAAAATATATACATTTATTTTTTTTAATTATAAGAAATATATATATAACCTTTTTATATATATTTTTTATCAAATTTCTATCAAAAATACTTTAAAATATTTTGTTTTTGTTTTTTAAACGTCAGTATTATATTGAAATTTTCTGTTGCTAGAGTATATTAACTTCATCTCGAACGTCTCGAAATTGTTCTCTCTCGCTCTGGTTTGATATTTCTTATATTGAATTCAATTCAATTACGAGTTTTCAAATCTGAGTCTCGCTCCATTTGAGTTGGGGGCAACTTTCACTTGGCGTCTATTACCCGCTTGGCCACATTGCGGTCAGTCTAGAGTTGCACTCGGCTGCAAGCTAAAAAAAACACACCATCATCATTGCCATTGCCATCATCATCATCATCATCATCCCTAACACATTCATCAGCTCTCATATCCTAGCTCGAAGGCCTGTTTTTTTTTAATTCCCTTTCATATGTAAATTTCACTTTATGCTCAAATTTTGTTTTACGCTTAGCTTTTTGTATACATACATATATACATATGCATAGGTGTACGTGTGTATGTATACATATGTATATTTCAATATTTTAAAGTATTTTAAGCACTAGTTTTAACTGCTTTCACGCAAATGCTTTTTTGCCTAATACACACATACACACACGCGCACACACACACACACACACACACATACGTACATATATACATAAACAACGCTTTAATTTCATCTTGTTTACATTGTTTTCTTCTTCTTCCTTTTACGTTTTCTCTTTCACATCTTTGTGTTTGCATTTCGCCGCATTCGTAACGTTTAATTTGCTGCTAAAAACAACAACAACAACAACTACAATAAAAACAACAACAGCAGAAATATGCGTTGGCTGAGGAAGAAGGCAACATGCAGCAACAGCAACAACAACAACAACACCAACAACACCAACAGCAACAGCAACCACAACAACACACAGCTTAACACGAACAACAACAACAACACCATCAAATACTCACCATAATAACAACAACAGCAACAACTGCATCAACATCAACAAACAACATAATCATCTTCATCTTCATTATCAACAACAACAACAACAACAAACAATTGCTGCCAAACTGCAACTTGCAACTTGCAACCAGCAACGTGCAACCTGCTGCTATTTCCTGTTGTTTGTTGTTTGTCAATTGCCCAAAAACAAAAAATTTTATCTTCGAAGCAGCATTTGGAGCCAGCCCATTGTGCCCCGTCGCGCTTCTCAAGCTGATTGAGGAGCCCACAGTGGAATGTTGGAATACCCACAGCGATTCGCGCGCAACATCCCCAATTCCTCTGGCAACGCACCGCCACAGCTGCCGCAGCATCAGAACTATCAGAGCTGTCGCCAATTGGCACCGAACTCACCTGCTCACCACCAGCGTCACTCTTCGTTGTCCCAGCAGCAACAACAACTGCAACAGCAACTGCAACTGCAACAGCAGCAGCAGCTCTCGCTGCAGCATCATCGCACTCTGTCGACCGCCTCCAGCTGCAGTGCCCAGCACAAAAGTGTGACCTTTGGCCAGCCAGCGAGCAGCGGCTGCCCGGTGCCGATCGACTACAGCAACGGGGGCAGCAGCAGCGGTAACTCCAGTTGCAGCAACGCTGGACAACAATCAATGGCGGGCAACATGAAGCACGGTAAGCAAACGATTTATCATTATCATAATATACCATAGGGGCAAGTGTGAAGAAGAAGATTGATTACTATATTTATCGAGCACATAGATTTCCAGATAAAACACTTAAAGTTAAGTTGCTTCTTGAATGGCAATTACAGAATATAGTTAGGAAAAGAGAAGATTAAAATAGAATAGATGCGAGTTTATTATATATGAATGAATATGATATATGTAGAATATAGATACATTAAAGTTGTATATGAAATCTAATACAGATAGTTATAGTATACATTAGTTGATATTACATAAATGAAAATATATCTTGATAAATCTCATATATTATCAACAAATTATATGTATTTGATGTATGTTATAGTAATACTGTAGAATACGGTTATAACAACTCCGCTTATAGCGTCCCCAGATAGAAATATTCTTAAATGTTCAATCTTCATCGATTAGAACCTAAATCTAGATAAAGCCTTCTACTTGACTATTTATTATACTGTCTTACAAAAGAACTCATCTGATTTACATCTTGTAATATTAAACTTCTATGCTGCTTGTATAATTGTGTCTATTAATCGTTATGTTAAGCAGTTAAAATATCAAATATGTTTTTCTTCAATTATCATATATCATATCATATCATATCATCAAGAGTTTAATTTGATGTAAGGCATATATGATTCTTTTAATTTATGAGAACTCTAGATGTTTTCAAACAGTAGTACATTTCTCAAATTTTTAAATTGCCCACACATACAAATCGATATATATCGATATCACATATTTAAACAACGTGTAAATTAAATCTATTCTTTTTTCATTAATTCCAGGCAAATCTCAGGAAGACGTTTGCTACGTAGTAGCCAAATATGATTATGCAGCCCAGGGCGCTCAGGAGCTGGATTTGCGGAAGAACGAGCGCTATCTGCTGCTGGATGACTCCAAGCACTGGTGGCGCGTCCAAAACAGTCGCAATCAGTCCGGCTATGTGCCCAGCAACTATGTGAAGAAGGAGAAGCCCTCGCTCTTCGACAGGTGCGTGTGTTGTCCAACGTATGAACCTCCACTGTGTATACGATTATCAAAAAAAAAAAAAACTCACTAAAAACTAAAAATTTAAGTATTCTTTTTATTCTGATTTCAGCAGAAATAAGCTACTAAAAAAATATGTCGAGTTTGTTTTCTACTCCAAATATTTTGCTTTCTTCTTGTAATTAGTTCTCCAACTGCTTTTCGGCTTTTGTATTGTATAAGAAATTCATTTATCACTTAATTTGTATTTACATAAATATTTTTTAGTTGTCCCGAGTAGAAAGTCTTCTTAACATCTTTTCCTTCCTTCCACCCGCACGAACCACACCCACACACAAAAACTAAAGCCCCGTCTGGTTGCCCCTCCACTGGAAGCCCCCAAATTAGGTTTAAGCCAATAACTCTTTTTATCTAAGAAATACCAAAAGAACCCCTCCGTTTCTAAAACCCAGTAAAATTTTACTGGAAAGCCAACTAGTTAATATTATATTAATGTTTGCCATTTTACAATCATCTTCATTTCTTTTGTAGCATCAAGAAGAAGGTGAAAAAGGGTTCCGGTTCAAAGACGCTGCCCAATTGTTCGCCCTCACGCCAAATCGAGAGTCCAACCATGTCGCGACGCTTGCCGCCCGATCCGGCCGAGGCCATTGGCACCGCCATTGTCAAATACAACTATCAGGCGCAGCAGCCGGACGAGCTATCCCTGACCAAGGGCACACGCATACTCATACTGGAGAAGTCGAACGATGGCTGGTGGCGTGGCCAGAGCGGCAATGCGGTTGGCTGGTTCCCCAGCAATTACACAACCGAAGATTGTGATAACGATGGCGAAATACACACCTATGCCATGGCGGAGAACGTGCTGGACATTGTGGTAGGTGTCAATATCGAATGCCAAGTTTTCCTCATATCAATCTCTCTTCATCTTGCTTGCAGGTGGCGCTCTATAGCTTCACGTCGAACAATGATCAGGAGCTGTCGTTTGAGAAGGGCGATCGCCTTGAGATTGTCGATCGGCCCGCCTCCGATCCGGACTGGTATAAGGCACGCAATAATCAGGGTCAAGTCGGTTTAGTTCCACGCAATTATCTACAAGAGTTGAACGACTATTTGGCCACGCCCTATCGCAATACCAGCGGCAATGCTGGCAATGGCAATGCCACCGGTAGCAATGGTGCCAACACCACCGGCAACGGCGGTGACTCCATGGAGCGACGCAACGACTGCAACAACAAACCGACGCAGCCCAGCCAGCCCATCGAGCGACCCAATTTGGCTGGCAAATCCTGGTACTACGGGGCCATCACGCGCAGCCAGTGCGACACAGTCCTCAATGGCCATGGCCACGATGGCGATTTCCTCATCAGAGACAGTGAGACTAATGTAAGTGAATGAATAGATAGGAGAGTTAAATTAGAGGGGATATATGCAGCATATCGACTTGCTAATGTTCTGCTGGAATCACCCATACACCTTTGTATTAAGAGTGGAAACGTTATTCATAATATTATTTGCTTACAGATGGGTGATTACTCGGTTTCCCTGAAGGCGCCCGGCCGCAACAAACACTTCCGCGTGCACGTGGAGCAGAACATGTATTGCATTGGACAGCGCAAGTTTCATTCGTTGGACCAGCTGGTCGATCACTACCAAAGAGCGCCCATCTATACGAACAAGCAGGGCGAGAAGCTGTATCTGGTGCGACCGCTGCCAAAGGCCAATGGCACGTAAAGAGGGAAACAAACAAACAAACAGAAAAASAAAAACTCAACATAGATCATCCAATATATTACTCGTAATATAACTAAACAAAAAATACACAACATAATACAACTTCAATGATATAGTACATACGTATTAACATGGCATAGAACATAACAAACAAAATGTATGCAGCGCGCTGTCCAAATCCTTTCTTCAGTTTTGTACGCTTCTCGATAAGGAGAGAGGGCGAAAGTATCTATATGTATATAAATCGGTTGATTCATGTTCGCTGATTCATGTTCGAATGCGTAATAGACAAACACACAGACTTTTTGTACTTTTATAAAATTTATATATATCTAAATTAATTAATGCATAATTCGGCTAGCTTCGATTAATAACTATTTTGTTAACGTTAGTTCGCTTCCTTTTCTTTGTGAAGTATGGAAGAAGATGAAAGCAAGCGCATAAGAAATATAAAAGAAAGAACCAAAGGCTTCTTTTTCTCTCGAAACACTCAATTCAGATGTCAACATGCATTACAATTACATACTCTATATATATGTATAAATACATAATATACGATATTTAAACATTGTAGCCAAGTATTGTGTACACAGCAAAGCGCTTTTAAAAACTGACTTAAGATACATATGTAGCCGTATGTCTGTCTGTGTGTGTGTGAGTGCGTGCGTGCGTGTGTATAAGTGTTTGGATATATAGCACAAGAGAAAATTCACTCTGTACGTATGCATGTATGTGTGTCTGAACCATATAAAGCTCACAATCGAATATGCATATAAACAAATATACAGCCAATCATACCAATATCTTATCGAGTATGTAAATATGTAGGCAGTCCGCTTACCAACAATCCAACAAAATATAGTATATCAAAAGCTGCTTAAAGAAAAACCCAAGAAGTTGAAAAAAAAAACTAATTGTGAAAACTTAATTAGTTCGCTAATTTGCTAATAAGATAAGATGCTTCATGACTTCAACTACACACACATCCACAGTCACTTTTGTATTGAACATTTTTTTGATTATCATCTAAAGATAATGGTATATATTATACATACGGAATATCCACAATAATAATATCCAAATACAAGCTGTTCTAGCCGCATAATTATAAACATAATCAACATCGTACGAAACACACATACTTAAGTGGAGCCTCCCCCCTATTATACATAATTAAATAATAT